CTGCTTGGTCCAACATGCTTGATAAGATATTCATGCAGATGACAAAAAGATATAGGGAAAGGGCACACCTTTGTCATAGACCTCGAGTGCTCTGGAAATAGCCGGCAAGCTCACAATTAACCTGAACAGAGAAAGATGCTGTTGTGACACATAGTCGTATCCAATCCCGAAAGTTAGCTGGTATCCCCATGGCCGTTAGAACCCGCAAAAAAAAATTCCATTGTACTGTATCGAACGCTTTGGCAATGTCTATCATCATGGCACATCGAGAGGGTTCAGATTTTTTTATGATCCCTGAACAATCTCAGAGGCCAGTAAGACGTTTTCGACAAGCAAACGATCTTTCGCAAACGCAGATTGGTTGGGAGCGATGAGTTTCAGAAGAATACACTTTAACCGGTTTGCAAGAAGCTTAGAAATTATCTTATACAGCACATTACAGCAAGATATGGGTCGATAGTCCTTCATCTCCCTAGCATCATTTATCTTTGGGATCAATGCCAAGATGGTGGAGTTTACCCCTTTCGAAAGAAAATCCAGTTGAAAGAAAGATTGAACTGCTGCAACAACATCGTTTCCAAGTACTGACCAAGCCTCTTTGAAAAATTCAGTGGTAAAACCATCTGGCCTTGGAGATTTGTTATTTGGCATTGAAAAAACTACCTTTTGGATATCTTCTTCTGTTACTTCGCGGGTCAGCTGCTCACAATCAGCCAAAGTACATCGAATGGATACTAGACTCTCAAGCATCTCATCATTGGTATCTGTATAGTCGGGAGGTCTGTGAGATAAGAACTCTCAAAAATGCCTCTCTGCTTCAGCCTTGATGTCTTCACTTTCTTTAAGAGTAGTACCATCAATGCCAACTCTTTCCCTGATTATGTTACAAGTTTCCTTGATACGAGCGGCTCTGAAGAAAACCTTATTGTTCCTGTCACCAATATTCAGGTGATGCAGTTTAGAATTTTGGCGCAAGTAACCTCCTCTAGAGTGAATAAATGTTCCCATTTTGAAGCAGCCTGATTCTCTTCTTCCAGACTAAAAGGCGTCGGGTTTAGAGCATTTGATTCTTGCTTTTGGCAAAGATTTCCAAACCGGTTTTTTGATAGTTCCCGCAACTTTGCCGCTTGCGAAAGAGAGATTCTATTCCCCTCATAGTTATTTCCATGATCCACCTTTGCACTTCGGGTCTCCCCCACCAAAATCATCCGTTGGGAGTCCTGTTGCAGGTTCTGATTTTCCTCCGTTGCATTTGCTGGCTCAGTGTTCTTAGAGTCATTTTCAGTTTCACTTCCAGCGACGTTTTCATTCACCTCCATCTGCTCTGGTTGCTCTGCAATCATCTCGCCCTCCTGTGCTTCATCAGAGTCATCCGCGAAATCAGAGAACCGTGAAGCTGAAGAGAATCCCTCATGTGACATTTGATTTTGCTGCTTCATTCAAGATACCTTTGTCGGGGAACACCACTCTTCTTCTCTGTTTTCAGATATGGGGTATGAAGACAGGGGAATGTGAGCTTTAGTTCCTGCAGTTGTCGAAGTCTTTTGTCGAAGTCTTTGAACTGGTTGGATCAATCTTCTCCAGCTGCTTCGTGACCAATGACAGGATATTCGAGATGGCATTGTCAACCATTGGAGTTTTCACTGTAGAGTTTGATCTCTCTTGTCGAGGCTTAACTACCTGCGGCATTTTTGGACTAGCATTATTCCCCTCTCTTTCCTCCCGAGGTTTAATATTAGTCCCTTCTCTTCTTAGTATCTGAATCAGTTCTTGTTTCACTTGGCATTCAGCACCCAAATGTCCCCAACCCCCACACGCAGAGAAATGGAGAGGTAACCATGGGAAATCGTACTGAATCTCCAGCTGAACATCCTCCACCGCAAAACAATGTGTCATCGGTAATTCCTTTGTCAGATAAACCTCAACTGAGATGCGAGCTTCATCAAAACTCTTCACCCAGATCATGTTGGGATGTAGTTGTTTCCGCACACCTATTGGACTGGTCAAGAAACTGATCCCTTTCCAGTTGTACATCTTTCGAGGTACATTCTTTAGCACCACCCACAAAGGAATGGATGTCATTAGCGGTTGAGATTCCTCTTCAATCGGACTCCATTTGGATACAAGCATTGGAACATCTTTTATGTTCCACATCTTCCTCTGCAGCACTCTTTCCCGCATGCTTTTATCCGTGATCTGAAACTTCACTGTTAAGTCGTTGATCACATAGATATCAACTTTTGCATCCGTATTTCCCAAGGTCCAGATCCGATTCACCGTCATGTGAATAGATCCCACATGTGGTTCTTTCTTTTGGAATTTCCCTACAATACAATTGTGACATCCCGACCCGCCCTCCCTTTAGGAACCAGGCGCGGACCGGCGATATCAATCCTAACTCCCTCCAACCGCCCCTCCCAGTGAGCCCAATGCCCTCTTTAGGCACGTGGGCCCAACGTCCTCTCTCTAGGCCCGTTGGCCCAACGCCCCCTCTAGGCCCGTTGGCCCACCACTGTATGACGGTTGGGAGTCGTTAGTCCGGAAGGCTCGTAAGACTTGTCTACTGTCCCTGCAATCACCACATGATTTTTCCCCGTGCTTTGTCCTCACTCACACGGTACTGCAGAGAACTTCCCGGTGAGCCCAATGCCCTCTTTAGGCACGTGGGCCCAACGTCCTCTCTCTAGGCCCGTTGGCCCAACGCCCCCTCTAGGCCCGTTGGCCCACCACTGTATGACGGTTGGGAGTCGTTAGTCCGGAAGGCTCGTAAGACTTGTCTACTGTCCCTGCAATCACCACATGATCTTTCCCCGTGCTTTGTCCTCACTCACACGGTACTGCAGAGAACTTCCCGGTAGGTCACCCATCCTGAGACTACTCCAGCATCAGCACGCTTAACTCTGGAGTTTTCTCAGCACACTTGACCGGAAAAGATAAGTGCACTTTAATGACATAGATAGCCAAATTAATTCTTATAAGCCTTTCTGACTATCTGGAAATCGGGATGTTACAACAATCATTCCACATGGGAGCTTCGTTCAGAATTGAGTCTGGAACCCTAAATCACTCCATCGATCTTCTCTGCCTCCATGTCAAACTTTTGCAAGTGTTCCTTCTTCTTCACCACTTCTGCCCATCTCTTTGCACCAGTAGGTTTTTCCCCATCTTAGTGGGATCCACCTCTTGTTCCTAGTTGTCTGCAGATTCCCGGTTGTCCGCCGTATCATTTGAGGATCACACTGCATCATTTGGAATTCCTTCCAAGCTCAAAACTTTTCCAACAATCAGTGACTGCGCCTCCACCTCGTTTGCTGTCACTGCCGCCGTCTTTGATACCTCCGGTGACGGAGGGACTGCCTGTCTCTGCGCTGTCGCGGTCGCCATACCCTAGCGTGGACAGGAAAAATTCTAGAATTGCCTTTGGAGTCACCCTTACTGACGTGTTGCCCTTCCTAAATTGTTACCCAAAAGTATGTAATTTTTTTTTTTCCATTTCTCTTTATTGAAGACAAACCCATAATTTGATTTTCATCTTCTTTCTCAGCCTACTCCTTCAGCAAACTATTTGCGGCAGCAGTAGATAATTTGTTTTTCTTTTAACATAATTCCTAAATTTTTTATATTATTAATATTTGTTTCTTTGTTGTTGACAAAAAATAATGATAGATTTACGATAAAACTATCAATTTTAAATTAGCAAATGCCACTTTTAATTTAAGAACTCCGATTGAGTTTTTGGATGAATATGCTATATTAGCGGTGAATCTCGCCGCCCAGCGCCTAACAGCGACGAAATCGGCGCACTGGTCCTGTTTTCAAACAATACCATTTACCAAACTGAATATTTATAATTTTTTAATTTTTCTATCAACAACATATATTATGTGAATCAAACCCGGGTGGTTACACAACGGTAACAATAACATAAGTTCATAAATTATACGTCTGAATTTGTCTTTATCATGAAAGGTAAAAATGCAAGGAAAAAAAAACGAGTTCTCAGACGTTGTAATCAACTTTATCATCAAATAAAAGAGGGAGACCTTAAAATTGGAAAGAAAAAGCTACATATGCTAAAGGAACGACCGATTTCTATATCCATGCACAGTGCCCTACGTAATCATGATCTCTAAATTCTCGTGGAATAACCGATTTTTTCTTCTTCTTTTTTAGGACATAGGAAAAATTCATCATGAAATCAAAATTTAAAATCACACTATTGAAGATATAATATGTGTAAAACTGCTAGTATAGTTACAAGGAAAAATTATATACCAGGCCAATGTATTAAATAATTCACCTATGTGGGAGTTGAGAAGTTGATTTTTTCTTCCAGATTTGAGTCTTGACTCAACGAAACACAGACACAAATCTGGATGGAAACAGAATATACAAACCAAACTTGATGATTTCATTGTTGAAACTCATACTGTTGGTCGATCCCCGAAATTAAATCACATATATTGTGAATTTGTGATTAATTTTATTTTTTGTTAAATATTGTGTGATTAACTTGTATAGCTTATATTATATATCCCCATAGACCATAGGTTCACCAGCAGCACTAATATCAAATTGCATTCAGTAAATGATTTCTATAAATATTTCGTCCCTATGTATTAACGCATATATGAACAGAAACAAAAAAGAAACAAGTAGAATGAACGTGTTTTCCCAATTTAGAAAAAGCTTAATAAGAATCATTTACGCGGAAATTTATAAAATAATATAGTTAAATATAAAACACATTAAAGTAAAAGAAAAGATAAAGTGAGAAAATATATATGTTGTGGGGTTTGCAATTGGCAACCGACCCAAAATGCTTTTTGCTGCTTCTTTTACATAATTTAATCTCTTTTTGTCTTTCTTACAGTTCCATAATTGATCGATCAAATTCAAAACCCTTATATTACGCCTCTCTTTGTTATATATTCCCACTCCTTCTCTTACTCCTCTCTTTCTCAAGTTCTATATATGTTTATAATAGCTACGAAGTAGATATGGCTCCTGTTTCAATGCCTCCGGGTTTTCGGTTTCATCCAACAGATGAAGAGCTTGTCATTTACTACCTCAAACGAAAGATTAATGGTCGAACAATCGAATTAGAGATCATTCCCGAGATTGATCTTTACAAATGCGAGCCTTGGGACTTACCCGGTATTTATCTCTCTTCCCTTCTTTTTTTTTATTTTTTATTGTTCTCTATATATATATATATATTTTTTTATCATCTCTTCTGTTCTCGGGATACCGGTGAAAGAGCTTCCAATTAACAATATTTAGCGTTTCTCTATTCTTTGCTATGTCATGGTTTTTTCTTCTTCTTGGGATCACAAAATTGTTATCACTGCATCTCAATAATGTGTCTCATAGCTCATGTTAATTTGGAGTTGTCTTTGCTTCCATATTTATTACCTTTTTAGCACGATACCAATTTGATAGGTTTAGCAATCTGTAAAACATGGAAAAAAAAATCTGTAAAACCTGAACATTTCATTTTCTTTAATTAATATTCACATTCTTAGAAAAAAAATCCATCCGTATCATGTTACATATCGACATGTTTTGTGTCTCATTCTAAAGGAATATTTGAGGCATTATATCATAGCAAGCGAAAAAACTCTTTTTAGTTTATTTTTGAATATAATTATATCATTAATCATTTAATTGATACGCATGAATTACTGCAAGATCAAGGTTTTTGGGACTTTAGAATACCGAATTACAGATTCATTTTCTAGAAAACTACATAATGTGTGAACACACACCTTTTGATAAGACCAAGGGTAACCCTAGAGAGAAGATACACTTGATGTTTGTTTTTCAAAGATATATGTTCTTCCTTTTATTTTTCTAATGGTTTTTAAAACAATTTTGTTCGTACCAAATTTATTTATCTCTCTCCAGACACGCATCGAACTTGAATGCTTTATTAACGAAAAAATAATACGTCCCTACCTTATCTTAGAATAAAAAAATTAGTGGACCCACCCTCATCTTTATATATTCTTTAAAAATTGTATTAAAACCGAGAGATGCGGTGGTGAATAGTGAGACAAATTTGGAAGACTGAGTCAAAAAAGGTAAGAAGATACAAAAAAAAAAGGTAACACAAGATTTCACATGTCCTTTAGGGTTTTCAGAAACTTCTCATTCACCTTCAACTTTTGTTTTATAAAAAAATGTTCTCTTTATTTGTCTTTTATTTATTCTTTTCAATTCTCATTTATGACATCTTAAGTGTGTACAAAGTTGTTTTGGTAAAAACTTATTTTGATTCTCCCACAGTTAGATGGTCGTGATTTTCCAAAATTCTTTAGACAAATTCCTAGGATGCACAATTTGTTCTTTCGAAGCTTCTTATTCACGTTCGAATTGTTTTATAAAAAAATGTTCTCTTTATTTATCTTTGATTTATTCCTTAATTTGGTTCACGTGTTGTGGGATCTCTTATGACATCTTAAGTGTGTACAAATTTATTGTTGGATAAACCTTATTCCGATCTTTCCATTGTTATATGATCGTGATTTCCAATAATTCTACAGGGAAGTCCTTGCTCCCAAGTAAAGACCTAGAATGGTTCTTTTTCAGTCCTCGAGATCGGAAATATCCTAACGGATCAAGAACAAACCGGGCGACAAAAGCAGGTTACTGGAAAGCCACAGGGAAAGATCGTAAAGTTACTTCACATTCGCGGACTGTCGGAACAAAGAAAACGTTAGTTTACTATCGAGGAAGAGCGCCTCATGGCTCTCGTACCGATTGGGTCATGCACGAGTACCGTCTTGAAGAGCAAGAATGTGACTCTAAATCCGGCATACAGGTAACCAAACAATGAACAAAAATATTATGATAAAAGTTTTAAACATATTTTATATATTTTAACTAAAACCAATCTATAAACATTTCAGGATGCTTATGCACTTTGTCGTGTATTCAAGAAGAGTGCTTTAGCCAACAAGTTAGATGAACAACAACATCATGTCACGAAGAGGAACAAAGCAACGACTAATAGTGAACAATCTACTTCTAGTACTTGTTTGTATTCCGATGGAATGTATGAAAACCTAGAATATGCAGTCTCACCTGATCCAGAACCAAATCAACTCGGTAACATTTCTTCGTCGGGTATGGAAAAGATAGAGAACAAGTGGAGTCAGTTTATGTCACATGACACGCCCTTAAACTTTCCAGTCCAGTCACAGTTTTGTTCTCAGTATGGATCAATATCATATCCTCCCTCAAAGGTAACAAATCTTTCTAAAGTTGTTAAAACGTATATTTTTGTTTCAATCTAATCCCTGATTCATTCAATTCTCCGTACAAAATAGGTAGAGATAGCTTTAGAGTGTGCAAGAGTACAAAATCGTATGTTGCCACCGGTGCCTCCACTTCACGGAGAAGAATTCACACATGGCGAATACTTGGGAAACAATGTGGCTAATGATACAGATGAGATGCTGAGCAAGATCATAGCATTGGCTCAAGCCTCCCACGAGCCACAGAACTGTCTAGACTCGTGGGAAGTTGCTTCTGGTTCTGCATACTTCCATGGAGACTTTAACTATTCAGGAGAAAAAACGACAGGTTCATGGGTAGATGCTAACATGAAGGCTGTAGATATGCAAGAACATGTTGGGAGGTTTAAGGAAGAAAGACGTGTTGAGAACTTGAGATGGGTAGGAGTATCAAGTAAGGAATTAGAAAAGGTAATGATGTTCATTGTTCGTATTTTCAAACACTACAAGTGAAAAATATTTATCAGATAATATGCATATATATATATATATGCATACCTACTTGAATAGAATTTTTTTTCCTTAAAACAGTAACCGTGGAAGTTCTGGACCTTTGATCCTTAATCTCCCGATACTGGAGTCAGAATTTAAATATTCCGATTGAAAGAATAATTGTGTTATCAATTTTTTTTTTTTTTTTTTTTTTTTTTTTTTTTGAGTTTGATCTAGTACTTTAAATTTCAGAGTTTCATTGAAGAACACTCAACGGTAGTTCCTATAGAAGATATTTGGAGCTATCGTAGGGATGATCCAGAACATGAACATCAAGGTAACTTTTGCTTATCAATTATTTTAGAAATTTGATTTTTTTGTTGAAGTACCAATAATTTAAGCATGGACCTATATATGATGCATGATATACTCCGGTAGGGGACCATAGCAGGGTATTTAGTTTCCTCCGCAACAATGAGACTCGAGGTGAGACTCTGCGTCGCATTTTCTTTGGAATGGTATTACATGATTCTTACTAATAATTTTTATATCTTTGTTTTGTTGAAGATGGTGTGGGAGTTAACAACAATGGAGATGTGGATGATGTTTACACACTTGAGTTCTCCGATAACGAACACATCGGGAATATTTCGGACAAGATAAACAGCAGTGACCATGACACAACGAGTTCGTCACATTTTGAGATGATTAAGAAAGTTGAGGTTAGTCATGGACTGTTTGTTACAACTCGTCAGGTAACCAACACATTCTTCCAACAGATCGTACCATCTCAAACCGTTATAGTTTACATAAATCCAACTGGTGAAAACAAATATTTTAACGAGATGACATCAAAGGAAGAGGTTCATGTCCTTAAGCAGCAGATTAATCCGCAAATCGAAAGCATAGTCTCAAAAATTCTTGGACCATGGAGAAAATTCGTGTATGTTATTGGTTTCATTCCTATGCTTCTATTGATGCGGTGTGTTCATCAAAGAGATGACTCTAAGAAAAACCGAAGCAGCGAAGGTGATTGTATCGACCGGGGGACAATATTTATGATGAAAAATGCTGTAGTAAGAAGAAAGTTTTGGAATAAGAAGGAAGATAATGGGATCGTTGATGTACAAGGTTTGAGAGTTCAAGATAGTTTCATGTTGAAGAAGTTGGGCCTTTCTCTTGCTATTATCTTAGCTGTTTCCACCATGTGTCTTATTTAATATGTTGGAAGTTCAATATTTCCTATGGCTTTGCACTTTTTCTATTGTACTCTTATTTGTCTAGGAGGGGTTTTCGTTTCTTTTGCTTTTTTTTTTCCATTTCCTAAACTAAACTAAATTCCCTGCGCTTTACATCATGGGATGTAGTTATTTTTTATTTTTATTTTCTACTTTATTTTTATTTTGATGTGAGCATAGTGGAATATATCTGACTGGATCTATACCAACTACATGAATAAATTAGGGCCATCAGACTAAAGAATCTGTGACGGCAACGTTTGAGCTTGTAATTTTTTTAAAAAAAACTGACGGCAACTATTAGTAATTTGGTGAAATTTTTTTTTTAATAGCAATTAGCAAGGAGTAATTTGGATTTTTTACCATCCGACTTATCCTTTTGGATAAGTAATACCATCGACTAACTACTCACTTATCGGACTTCAAATAGACCTAAAGCATGCCACCATCTTAATCAACATGAGAACGTCTACTATATGATAAATTTCATGTTTTGTTCAGAATTTTGTTTTTATAAAAAAATAAGAATACTTACGAAGAGAAAAAAAGAGAAGTTGGAGAAGAAGAAATATATGAGCAGGAAGAAGAAGACATAGATTGACAATGGCCGAGAATTCGGCAAAAATCGATGCTGTTACGGAGAAGATTGGTGGCTAAGAGTGAAGAAAGAGAAGTATAGTTATCGTCATTAGTGGATGGATATAGAAGAAAATGATTTCAAACCACTACAAGAAAACATACTGAATTCCTATGAATTTTCCTACGAAAATTTTGGTAGGAAATTTTTTTTATCATTTTCCTACGAATTTATGACAAAAAAAAAATGGTAGGAAATTGAAAGAAAATTTTTTACGATAAAAATGGTCAGAAAATGGTCAAAATTTTGCTACCAATATTCAACCAAAAAAATATCTGTAGGAAATCTGATCAGAAAATGGTAGGAAATCGGTTAAAAAATTTTACTGTAATAATGGTAGGAATTTTGTCAGAAATTTTTGACCACTTTTCTATGAACAGAATATGTAAGAAATTATCTATCAATTTCCTACGAAGTAAATATTTTATTATTTAAATATTCTATCAATTTCCTACCAAAATCAGTCAAAAAGGAAAATGGGAAAAATCTCACATCGACCAAGCAGAGTAAAGGTGATGCTGAACAGACTCTATAAATAGGCACATGCCTTAAATATAAAAAATACTGAGTCAATAAAAATAATTTGGGCTTTAGAAGTTCCATATTTAGTTATAAATAATTTTTAATTAATTTTTAATTGGGCTGATTAATTTTAGATTTAATTTTTATAATTTGTTTAATAATTGAAATTATTTAATTTTGGAATTAATTGAATTAAAACGTTTTTTATATAGCTAGTAGAAAAATGGTAGGAATATGGTAGAAAACTGTTCGTAGGAAAATGGTTGAATTTTTTTGAAAGAAAATGGAAGGAAAGTAGTAGCAAATGCCCTACAATATTTTGACCAAATTTTCCGATGAAATTTTCCTACCAAAAATTTCATAGGAAATTTCTTACCATTTTTTGACCATTTATAATTTCCGACGGCATAGAACCTACCAAAATTTTTTATCGGAAATTGGTAGGAAATGCTTGTTTCCTACCATTTTCTGATGATATCTTTCGTAGGAATATCTGCTGTTTTCTTGTAGTGAACAGTTACACCTAAAATTAAAAAAAAAACCACACTTAAGAACTTGTCTGAAAAATGATTATCTAAATTGTCAACATTAGAATTTTCCTTTAGCTTTAATTTATTTACAAAGTGTTTATCGTCTGAGTTGTTTTTTTTTTTCGTTTTTGCTAATTCTTTGATTATTCTGGGATTATCTTCTCAATTTTTCGTTGTCGGATCCTCAAAAACAAATATAATTGTTATGAATATAAGTATGTAGCTAAGTATGAACTATCATATATATACAAGAAAATAATTAGAAATATCATATATATATATATATATATACTTATTTGTGTAGTGATTTGCTGATGGGTCACAACGAGTTTTACATTTTTTCGTTTACGTGTCAGCTCCATAATGAATTTCGGCTGCAAAAAGACTGTTTAACCCATTTTACAATTATGTGTCATTTTTTATTGGTTTTTATCTGATGACGTATAAAAAAAACCTTAAAACGAACCGGTCTTAATTATTATGGTTTAATGCTTAATTCTGTAGTCAATCAAACCGTTTTTAAATTTATATTAAATCAAAATTTAGAAAAAATTAGACAAAAATAATTTAAAAAATAGAAATTTACCATTTCTTATATTTCCAAAATTTAGAAAAAATCTAACTAAAATGTTAAAAGAAACAAAAATTGGGATAAAATTTAGAATGTCATTTAAAAAAAACAAAAAAAAAACAAAATATATGCTAGAATATCGCTAATTAGTATAGTCTTTACGATTTCTTATGTTTATAGGGTTTTCGATTTTTATAATTTTATAAAACTAAAATTTAGTAAAAATCTAAGAAAAAAAGTAAAAAAAAAAACAATAAATGAAATATCGTTAATTATGATATCTAGAATAGGATTTTTGATTTCTTATCTATATACTTCAAAAGATTTTTTAACCCTTTTGTTAAAATCAAAAGCTTATTTGTAAATTTCAGATTCATCTAACTTAGAACAGAGATAATTTTTTTTTTTTAATGTTCTTAAAATCATTTATTTATAAAATTACACTTGGTAGACATATATAGCCCACGCGAGGCGTGGACAAATTAACTAGTATATAGTATAAGCGAGGTAAATTTTTAGCTATAAACTGTGGATTATCTTCTTAATGAGTTTTAGGGTGGTTAATTATTTTGCTGCCCCTCACAAAAAGATGTTAATATCCTTTTAATCGGTTCAAATTAAATTTTGACTAAAATTACGTACATTGATTGACATACCAACTAATATACCAATATCTCTGTGACTCAGTTTAATATAACAGATTTTAATCGGTTCAAATTAAGTTATGATTAAAATTACATTAATTGACATACCAAATACTGACTGAAATACCGATATCTCTGCGACTCGGTTTAATATAACAGATGTTAATTGGTTCAAATTAAGTTTTGATTAAAATTACATTAATTGATATACCGGATACCGATTGACATATCAATATCTCTGCGACTCGATTTAATATAACAGATTTGTAGAATTGTTTTGGGCTAGGGTTCAAGTTGTTTAGATCGCTAACCCGTTTTAATTGAAAAAAAAACTTTGTTTATTAGTTTGGGGATTTTTAGTAATAGATCACTAAAAAAAGCTTTGTTTGGATTTAGAATGCTATTATATTTATTGCTTTTGTCGTTTGTCTTAATCTAATTTTTTTTTCCTATGTTGGTATTGATCTGATTATTATTATTATTTTTTTTTTGTCAACAGCCTCTTCTCCTAAACCGAAGTTGTTAACCAAACCGGTGGAGATGAGTTCACATAAATCATATTCCCTGGGTAGACTCTAGCGCTGTGAGCTAATGCGTCCGCCTTGGTGTTCTTCGCTCGTGGTATGTGGATCAGTTTGAAAGAAAGGAACTTCTCTCTGCATTTCTTAATTTCCCCCAATTGTAGTACAAATGCTGGCCATTCCGTTGGTGCCGACACCATCTTCACCACATCAGAACAGTCTGTTGCAAAAACTACTTCTCTTCGCTGATTTTCAATCATGCACAGCATTGTCCATAATAGTGCCTCTACTTCTGCATGTAAAGGAGATAAGCTTCGTCGTAAATTCTGTGCCCCCATCATGGTCTCATTGTTTTCCTCTCTCCTATAATACTAGCCTTTACCTGATGTTTTATCCGTCTCCTTCCAAGAACCATCCACCGAGCACCATCCATTATTAAAGGAGGTCGGGTGTAATGGCAATTGAGGATGTTGTGTTTCCGTTTCAGTTACAGAGTTTTGTGTCTCATTCCATAAAAGGCTTTCCGTTTCCGCTAGTTTAAGCGTTAATCGTGGATCTCTGTATATGTTTCTGAATAGTTTGTCATTTCTTGCTTCCCAGATGTACCATACTATCCATGGATATGATTCATTATAAGTTTCTGTTGGTGTACGCCAAAACAAATAATCCAAATTTGCATAAATAGATCTTCCTGGGAAAACTCCCGTAGGTGTTGGGATTTGTGACAAAGCCCACGTTTGCATTGCGGGTGGACATTCGAATAAAACATGATTGATCGTTTCCTCCTCTGCCCCACATCTATTGCATTGCGCATCACATTTGATTCCTCTGTTGTTCAGGTTTTTGGCAACAGCCAGACAACCTGACAGTGCTTGCCATAGAAAATGGCGTAATTTAGGGGGACACCTCAGTTTCCATAGTTTACTAATAGGGGCTCGAAATTAGGTCCATATAGGTTTTGTGTTTCTGCTTCCGAGTTTTGATGTTCAATTTGATATCCAGATTTGACCGTGTATTGGCCTGATTTTGTGAAGTGCCAACCCAGTACATCCGGCCGAAATGAAGCGCTGATGGGCATCCCTTGTATTATTTCCACATCTTTTGGATCTATAATGGCCTTGAGGAGCCCCATATTCCAAGTACTAGTCTGCGGATCAATTAGGTGATTCACCATGAGATTTGAGTAATAATTATAACCCTTACATATTGCTGATCTCGGGCGAGAAGATGGTATCCAGGGATCTTGCCAAACCGAAGTGGAACATCCAGAACCAACTCTTTTGATTAGCCCTTTGTTAACCAGAGATCGAGCTGAGATAATACTTCGCCATCCGTAAGATGGGGAATAGGACTTTATGTTGTCCATTGGACCTGCATTCCGATAATATCGTCCTTTGAGTACTCTCGCAAATAGCGTATCTGGCTTTTCTAATAATCGCCATAACTGTTTTGCCAACAATGTTGTGTTAAAATTCTCTAGCGACCTGAAACCCATCCCCCCAACCGATTTGTGACGACACATCTTTGGCCATGCTAGCCAGTGCATTCCTTTCCCCTGACCTTTCGTGTTCCACCAAAATCTTGCAGTGATGCTAGTTAACTTTGTGGTAATTGATTTTGGTAAGCGAAAACATGACATGACAAATGTTGGCATAGCGGATGCCACCAATTTTATTA